TTGTGCTTTTGTAAAATAAAGAAAACAAACAGGGTGCGCTTTCTGCCGTCTCAGTCTCTGCGAAAATCTTTCTGAAACGCGTCACTAAAATGAACTGATACTCAGCGAATACTTCACACACAGACATGAGAAATGTATCTATAGAAAGCTTGAAGTGTCTACTTTTAAATGAAGTCTTATCGAAAACAAATATTCTCTGAAAAAGTAATCCGTATGAAACCAACGCGAGGACCAGTTTTTCCCGTCTGAGCTCATTTTCTGTAATGTGATCACGCCCACACGCAGTGCGCGCTGTTCATACAGTAATCATTAACGTGAGACACGCAAGCCTCAGATGAGACCCACATCACTTCAGTAAACAAAGCCTGAAAATTCATCAAGTTCATCTGGATACTTTTCGTTTCTGGAAGAAGATGCGCTGAGAGGAATAAGCCAGAATTTACCTCAGAAGAAGAATGCGACGCGTGGCTTATGCAGCGGAGGAGATCATTTCTGACGAGCAAGTCATGTTTCTTATTTGCATTAGTTAACGTGTTGTTGTGATATAAACTTGAACACATTTACTAGTTGGGTTTTTCCCAAACTATAATTCCAGACTAAAATGCTTGAAATCAAGTGAAACATTTTGAATCTGAACTTTCATTGCATCTAAATGTCTCACCATGCCAGGATGTTTTTTTAATGTTCTATAAAATATAAAACAATACGATATAAAAGTAATTGAGTGTTTACACTGTAACATGATGAATGTTAGAGTCTAAGAACATTTAGATCAATGTTTATTATTAATACTCTGTTCACGCATATAGATGTTTATAACATGCTAAACAATAATAATTAGTTTCTCACATATAAAATGTTTTTTACGATAGTACATACAAAGCATGTGTGTGTATATGAATACAAATTCATATAATGTGTCTTTGCCCTTCACTGTGTATATTTTGATTATACTGCGTTGTAAATAAAATACTAATAATGAAAACCCCCATCATTTTAGTCTCCTCACATTCTTTCTTACCTGCCTCACAGTCACAGTCACACTGATGGGCCATTAGGAGAGGGCCCTTTGTCTCTCAGGTGTGAATCACTAAATATTCATGGTCCCTCGCATATGGCCTTTCTGACACAGAACATGTCTTACAAAAGTTAAATCAATATATTGTTCTCTGTGAATGAGTGAGCAGGATGATTTTCACATCATTTTATAGCAAAAACTCCATTCTACCACATCCAGTTCTTAAAAGTCTTGTGGACAAATGTTCTGTATGTGTATAAAATATTGAAAATATTGAATATTGAAAATATTGAATATTGAAAATATTACTTTTTCACTAACCACACATAAACGTTGTTTTCTCAAAAACACAAACTTGTACATACTTGCTTATTACATATTATTGTAGCCCAGTTTGTGCTGAACACAGTGTGATTAGACTTTAGCCATTAATATGTTTTTAAGATACTGAAAAAAGCATAAATGTCAGTGCATGTCAAAACTTCTCCAGGGCCCCAAAACCCCCTCAGACCCCAGAAGGATTAATCCTGGTCCTGGGGTCCTCATCTTTTTACACTTGCATTTCACTGTACTTAATTTTGTATTTATTTTATACTTGATTTTAGAATCCTAGATTGTATGAATGTGTTTTAAGTCCTGGTATGTAAAGCCCTTTGGCCAACGTGTGTTGTTTTAAATGTGCTATATGAATAATTGTGATTGATTGATAAAAATGCACTTTTACAGTGAATTGCATTTTACAGTGAGCGCAAACATTTGAAAAAGGCTAGAAGGGTCAGGAGCACCCAGTTAAAGCAAAAAAAATTAAATTAAAAAAAATTAATATTGGCATGTAGATGTCTTCAGGCCAGGACTGTTACCAAACGTGAAGTTTGGGGCAGATCGGACATTGCATGTTTGAGTTAGTGTAAAACAAGCCATTTATAACTGAATATTGGCCTTTAGATGTTTTCAGGCCAGGACTCTTACCAAACAGCTGAAGTATGGGGCAGATCGGACATTGAGTTACAACAACTTCTTTTTCTATGGCGAAACATCAAAATTTGTCAGGCCGCCACGGACACATCCTTTAGCGAAAACTCAAGATCTTCGCAATTTAACATCGCAAAGGCCTTTAGATTAGACTGACCAAATATAATGTTGATTTGATTAAATCTCTAATAGGAGTTCATTAAAATACAATGCCTGAAAATGGCAAAAACGACAATTTGCAGAGAAAATGTAAAATAACTGACTATAACTGAATAATGGCATGTAGATCTCTTCAGGCCAGGACTCTCATCTAAAATGTGAAGTTTGGGGTAGATCAGACATTGTATGTCTGCGTTACAACAACTTCCTCTTTCATGCCAAAACATCAATGTTTGAGTTAGTGTAAAACATGTCACTTCCTGAATATGGGCATCGGACATTATGCCTGAGTTATAACAACTTCCAGTGTCATGGCAAAACATTCGTCAGGCCGCCATGGACACGCCCTACAACAATAACTCAAGATCTTTGCAATTTAACATCATAATAGGGCCATCATAAAGGGCTTTAGATTAGACTGACCAAATTTGGTGTTGATCTGATCAAATCTCTGGGAGTACGTTAAAATACAACGCCTGAAATGGCAAAACGACACAAAATTTGCCAAGAAAATTCAAAATAACTGACTTCCTGTTGGGTTTCGGATTTTGCTCCAAGAGACTTTTTAGTAGGTATTGGGGTGTTACACGTGTCTACTGAATTTTGTACACGTACATGAAACATAGCTCGAGGGGCACATCACTGAAAGTGTATAGGTGGCGCTATCGAGCCGTTCTGCCACACCCACTTCTGAAACCTATATCAGACATAAATTCTCACCACTTCTGGCATGTGTGCAAAGTTTTGTGAGTTTTCAAGCATGTTTAGGCCCTAAAAAATGCGAAACTAACCCTAATCCTACTATATGCAGCAATTATGATTCAGGAAATGTAAAATATACAATTAATTCAGAACGGCTCTCTGCCAACACTGTCTTTATTCCTGAAGAGAGCTGATAAATGTATTTTGACAAACAGTTCATCTACACATAACTACTAAAACGTAGAAACTGATCGGAGATGCATCAAATGTATTTAAAACTAGAGCCTGGCCGATATATCGTTTGCCGATATTATCGGCCGATATGAGCCTGTCACCGATATATCGGTATCAGCGAATATGCCGCCGATATGAACATTTTTTTTACAGAACATATAACGCAGATAAAATGCTTGAAATGGTGTAATTACTTAGTTTGTCCAGCAGAGCGCGCTCCATTGTTTGCTACTGGCGACCTGGATGAAAGCTTTAAAGCTTAAGTCTATGGAAAACCATTGAAACTTTGAACCGCCACATCTCCGTAACGGCTCGGCGAATCCACACCAAATTCGGGGGATTTTGTTAAACTTTTAATAAATTGATGTTAAATTGTTTAAGTTTCATGATTTTAATTAATTAGACATGCGGTTTGATTAATAAAATGTAATTTAACCATTAAAAAGGAGTCCAGAAAAAAAACGGGGAAAAAAACGGAACACGTTTTTGGACATGGATCCGCACATCTCGTCAGCCCTGTAACTTGCAAAAAATGTGTTTATATATATATATATATATTCTGTTTATGTATATACTTTATTCTATATATAGTACCAGTCAAATGTTTGGACACACGAATGGGAAAGTGTCCAAACTTTTGACTGGTATTGTACTATAATATACACAAAGAATATCGGCCGATATAGGCGCGTTTTTACTCCCTAAATATCGGTATCGGCCCCAAAAAACTCATATCGGTCGGGCTCTATTTGAAACCTTATGATATCATATAATTTTGAAGCAAGTAATAGATGTACCTCCTGAATGTGATCCGGGAGTTGAATGGCTGGGCAGAAGGTGTTCTTGAGGAGCGTGAACGTCTTGTAAAAGCAGAAGGACAGCAGCAACACCAGCAGGAAGCTCAGCAGCAGAGAAATCAGGAAGTACAGGAATATCTGCCAGTACGGCATCTGACCTGAAATCACACACAGCGTTCAGTCGTAATGTCACACACACATTCATCTGGGTCAAACACGGACAGAAGACTCACTTGTCACCATAAGCACTGACTCCACCTTACATAACATGATCCATACATGTAGGATATAAATGCTCATAAATGTGGATTAAAAACCATGTAAATTATTCGAAAAAACTCACAGGTTATATATTTTCCCAAAACGGTAGCCTTTACTAGGTACAGTGGCAGATGTCTGAGGTTAAGTTGTGTCACTGGAGCTCTGTTTTTTCTATCTCTGGCTGCATGTTACACATATTCTTTAATCTGTTATCAGACATAAAACACTGACTGACAACCATAAGTGTCTTCACTGAAAAATATGTGTGTATTAGCAGCGCACTGACCCCACCTTACATAACATGATCCATACATGTAGGATATAAATGCTCATAAATGTGGATTAAAAACCATGTAAATTATTCGAAAAAACTCACAGGTTATATATTTTCCCAAAACGGTAGCCTTTACTAGGTACAGTGGCAGATGTCTGAGGTTAAGTTGTGTCACTGGAGCTCTGTTTTTTCTATCTCTGGCTGCATGTTACACATATTCTTTAATCTGTTATCAGACATAAAACACTGACTGACAACCATAAGTGTCTTCACTGAAAAATATGTGTGTATTAGCAGCCTGTGTGTGTGAGTGTGTGTGAGTGTGTGTGTGTGAGTGAGTGTGTGCGTGTGAGTGAGTGCGAGTGTGTGTGTGGGTGTGAGTGAGTGTGTGTGCGTGTGTGAGTGTGCGTGTGTGCATGTGTGAGAGTGTGTGTGCGTGTGTGAGTGTGTGGGTTCAGCCAAATATTGTCCTCTCCTAACAAACCATACATCAATGGAGAGATTATTTATTTATATTTATTCAGCTTTCAGATGATGCATAAATCTCAATAAAAAAAAAATGACCCTTATGTTTTGTGGTCCAGGGTCACAGTTGAGCTGATTCAGTCACATGGGTCACGTGCATGCGAAGGCTCTTACGCTAGATACTGCGCAGTGAAGGTGACGGTCTGGTTGACGGCGGTCTCATGAGGCCAGTCCCACCGCAGCACGTAACGAGTGTTGAGTGAGTCCACGCTGACGTTATCAGGACACCTCAGATCTGCAAACCCTGCCAGACACACACATGTATTTACACCTCCATACGAGCACACAAACACTCACTTCTCCAGTCTGATATCTGCACTCAGTTACAGGCCATTGATGTTCAACCTGAATGCAAGCGTTTTCACATCTGATAGCATTCGGATCAAAGCACATCTGCACGCAACTGGTGCAATTGACCTATCGGTAAGCCCCTCCCCTCGAACGCAGATGAGCCAATGGCAGCTGAGTATCAGTTGCACGGGGAGCTCGGACATCTGTAGGTTTCAGCGGCATAGAGAAACACTGGAAGATCCGAAGCTTGCATCAGTTTAATGGTGTTTATGCTTCAAAAATGGAAAACAGATGTGCCTGGAGTACTTATACACTGATTCCAGGTATCCTGAGAGGATAGGCAATGGAATTTATTTTATTCTATTTCCTAAACCCAAACAAAATGGAGCAAAATGTCCCAAAGCATTCACCCCCAATCCCAATGAAGACACAAACGTTCATTTTCTGGTTGTCATACTCTCATCAAGTTACAATTTTCATCTGCTCAAGCAGAACGTTAATGTCATCTTGTGCTTTAGTAAGGTATCTCTGGCTAAAACTAGCTAACGTTAAAGTTTGTGAGATGTTAACGTACAATCCTAAATAGCTAACTCTTCTCACGTCATGTACAGTGTAGGTCAAAAACACATAAACGTAGGTCTACATTTTAGTGCCTCTCCTTATTAAACTGGTTAAATGTACATTAATTTAATCTTACCCTGCGGTACATGAATCCTGGATGTTGTCATCTGCGATCGTGAC